TACGTATAAATCTATTTCAATTCTATACGAGTATGTAGTATAGTATATTTGTCTACTTAATGAGCAAGTAGTATACCTACAAGTTCCTTATACCTAAAGTATAAATGTTTGGGAAACTTATAGTTAACATTCATACTTGTATATCGACAAAGTATAATGCTTCTAACAATTTTCTACCATGAGTCCATAACCGTGGTTGTATGACTAGTTTCAAACCTCTGCTTGATGCTACAAGTTTCACATCTTAAGATAAGTTCCACATGCTTCATCAACATTGGAACAATAAACAAATAAAAGGACAGTGCATCACTCGCTTAAGTTTGGTTGTAGCTAACAACCACAATTGGGGTTGTCAACCCATATCTTATTCATACACAACTTCCTCACTCGCACGGGATTAGTGGTTACACGTCAGAGGATTTTCCCTAAGATTTTCAATCTTAGTTGATGAATACAATAGCTCATTTAGACTTGTCGAGTTCCGTTAGTTCTAGTAGTAAAAGCATATTCATGTCTAAAACCGTAAGTTATTAGACTATGCTTTACGCATTACTCCTAATTTTTATAATAATTAGGCAGTATAATAGCTATAATTTGAGTTAAAATCAGGTTTTCTCTTAACATAAAACCAATAATAACAACATATAACGTTCGTAGTTTTATCTTGACATAAAACCAACAATAACAACATATAACCTTCCTAGTTTTATCTTGACATAAAACCAATAATAACAATGTACATTTCAATTAACAGATAGAACTTACGAGTATAACTATAGAACTATATCGCACACAAAATATATATAGAATCCTAATTATAACTCAAGATCTACATTAGTATAATACTATAACAATAACACGCTAACAAGTTTACGATAGTTGTATAGATACAAATAATTATATCCCAATTAACGAACTTACTATCATATAATTATAGTATTAACTTGTGTTCAATATTTAGCATGCGTTTTCCCCCGAAAATATAAAAAAGTGGGGTCGTGAAACTCACCCTAGTAGCGTGATTTTATGTAATCTAAGCAGAAACGGTCAGCGGTACAAGGTTGTTAGGCTAGAGATGCAAGAGGGCTTCAACAAATGAGAGAGGAGAAAGAAGTTCAGGAGTAAGATTGGTTGAGGTTGAAACTGCTATTTATAGGAAGATTTTTAGCCTCTCACGTCGTGATCCATATAGTCTCACGTCGTGAGCCTTGTATGGTCACCCCGTAGACTTGCCATTTGCGTCCCTAGCTTCGGAATGTAGCCATATGACTCCTCATGTTGTGAGATATCCTTGCTCACATCGTGAGGTTAGAACTTATCCCTTCGTAGCCTCGCCACGCACATTCTAGGTCTGAAATGTGGCAATTTGACTCCTCACATCGTGAGTTTCTATGCTCACGTCGTGAGCTCATTCAGATTAGGGTTTCTAACAACTGTATCTTCATAAGGTCATAACTTTCGCATATGAACACCATTTTTAACGTTCTTTATATCCACGGTATTTACAAGTACTACAACTCTCTTTTAGACTCCAATAGCTAATTCTAAGCCTATTTTAAAATCCTCTTATTATAGAGATTTATAGTGTTCGGTTATCATAACTTTTTCACGCGAAGTGAGATTTAGACGTTCTCTATATCTTTGGAGTCGTATGGACATATACTTTGAGTTGTATTATAAATAAAGTTCATATTTTTATTATAATTTATCAAGAACTACATAGTAAGTTTATCACATTACTAATTAAACAACATCGCATTGCATGATTGGCATAATCACATGTGATTGTTATTGACCTATTTTGACTAGTGTTACATACGACTATATTCACATCTTCTACCTTGAAGAACATCGCCACCCACTGCATTATCCAGCAAAGAACACACACGAGGTGAGTTCATACCCTACATTTTCCACAAATTTTCTATTAGGGGGAGGGGGGATCCAAGTAAAACAAAAGAAAACTTGTGTTAAAAACACAATATGATATCTCATACTTTTACGATTGTCTGTGAAAGAATACTAAAATACACGAAATAGATTTATTTCCAAACTTGTGAACATATACATGCTAAGTTTTTCAAAAATTACAAATCCATGAAGCTTTCGTACAAAACACTACACTTTTCTTACGAATTATATATATATATATATATATATATATATATATATATATATACACACGAAACATACAATTGGATTTCAATAAATAAACTATATTTAACATGGTTATAATAACTCAAAGTTGGGTATTAACAATATGTTTGGTTTACGAATACATACATTTTGTCAAATGGTTTTATTTATATAAAACTACATTACACCATTTTCATGTACAATACAGTTTACATTCTGGAAAAATGCATTCAATTGGTTTTATAAAGATATAAAACTACATTACACTACTTTAGAGTACAACAATACCATTACATTTTTAGTCTTAGGGTATTTAAGACTACATTACATGTAAAAGAAAATATTGGATTTTCTAGAAGAACACACTATCATTTCTAGGAACAAAAACATATATTTCTCATACAAAATGCTTATGAACATACCAAATTAAGTGTTGTCACTTTTTCAAAACCACTTGTATTCTCAGGGAATCAATAGACATGTACCCACACATGTTTTGCGATGACGGAGCTTAGCATTGTTACGTCTTATATTTTTTCCATATGTTTTTGGAGTCAAACAAACAATGATTCAAACTCAATGTATATATTAAAGTATCAATACAATGTTTGTAATGTTTTGATCTCTATTATTCAATTGTTATGATATTGTACATGATGTCATCCGCCCCCGAACGTTTCCGCCGTTTTATCGGTTCGGTGGTGTGACAACATAGATATGAACTGGTTAAATAGAAATCGGAAACCGATGTTTCCAATTTCCTCAAAATGAGAAGCTTTTTCTACATCCATATGATTTACTAAAGTAGATAATAATTCCCATATAATAAAAGATCTTGGTCCATGGAATCCCAACAAGGTAACTATGTAAGAACTCCAACATGTTCGATGTTTCTTCGGCCAAATATGATATACAAGTGGAACATGCACTATACATAAGTTATGCGGAAAACTACATATTTTTTCCGGTTCTAAAATACTTTGGGCGAATTTGGGTTCTATCTGGAAAGCATGTATTTTTTTTTTGTTTTTGCCATTGGTTACTGGTTGAGCCACTAGAATGGAATGAGATAAGAATATATGGAGATCTTTGCTCTCTAATTACTCTTAACATGATTTCCCTCTATATAAGACTTATTACGGATGGCCTAATTGATGATTCAAATATACAATTATGGATAAGAGGGCGGCACCACTTCATCCACCCTTGGGATCGATGAACGAATCCTACATTCATGAGTTTGAGTGTGATGGTCCATGAAAACCAAAATTAGAATGTATGATTTCACTACTCGACAGACTTACCCAATACGCCAGGGAGGCGCTTGCCTCCGGCGTGATGAGTGCTCGACAAGCAGAACCAATCACGAAGGCCATAGCAGTAGGGAAGTGAATTTTTACAAAAATAGAATAGATGGACTTCATTCCGAGTAAGACAGCCACTTGAGAGACAAAATAAAGAAAGAAATAGTTCGCCCTAATTTGGAGGCAAAGTATATATAAATACATAATCAAACTTATGTGGAAGATAACCAGAAACGACTGGGACTATACTAGGAAACCCATTGAATTCGAACTGGAGATTGGATGGAAATTGGATTTCTTTTTCGTGTAGTTTATAATTGGATGTAACTATTCAAATGTTTTCAAGAATAAATCATTCTCTTACTAGATATCTTCTTGTTCATCAATCTTCGAAGAATGAAGGTTGAATTATTGTAAGTTTTTGGTTCCAAATCTTTCCCAAAAGTACACAAGTTTTAAATCTTAATGCATGCATTTTTCCTTCTACCAATAGAGTTGTATACCGCAAAAAAGTCGTAGTAGTAATTTAGTAAATAAGGATTGGTGAAGAAAAGAAAAGAGGGTGGCCCATCATCATCATATTAAAGGGGTGTGACTTGGTATGAGGCTCGTACTATAGAGCAAGCGAAGAAAACATAAGTGGGGTTCATTAACACTCCTATAAGAAAACGACAAAAAAAGAAAACATCAATGATATTAAATGATCGATATGAGAATGAAGCACCCAAGCATTAGAAGAAAGTCGACCTTACTCAACAAGGAACTTTCCTAGCTTAGTAAGGTTGCTTGTTTCCACTCACTGAAGATTCATCAACAAAAAATGTCAACATGGGGAGGGTACTTAAATGTCTCTCACTAACAGTATCTTCATGTGAATCACATGTAATTCATATGTAATTCACTTGTGATTTACATGTGAATCACAAGTCAATCATATGTGAATTACATGTGATTCATATGTGAATCACATGTAATTCATATGTAAATTACATGTTATTTATCCACCAGCTAATGCATCTTTACCCGCCAGCTACAACCATCAAAGATTCATATACATATATAATTATCATCAAATAAAACATATATAATATAATAAAACCTCCAAGATACCTAGAAAGCCTCATTTAGGTCATCTTCTCTCTATAACACCTCGCAAGTTTATTTGCTAATGTTGATGAAATCTGAATCAAATTTCTCATAGAATGATTTTTATTAAGCAAAACACATCTTAACAAAGTGTAACGTTGTTAATAGAAATAAATATTAAGAAATTAGGACTCCTACCAGTGCTAATTAACAAAAAAAACATAATCAGCACTAACGCATCTTGTTGTTTTTTATTAGATCAAATAAAGTTGAAGAGTATAACAATTAACAGAGAGATCGAGAGCTTAACATTGTATTTAGATGAACTATATAAAAGAATTCATATAAACTAAATGACAATATATGAAATTTCACATACAGTTATGTTGTGATAAGAGATCAATTACAGGAAAACACTAATTTGAAAGTAATTTGAGTTGATCATGGTGACTCTTCAATAATTGAAATGATTATTTAATTTGAATGGAGACATATGATTAATGAAAACCTCAACGATAAAAAAACAGAATCAATTACAATTGCTAACAGTTGTAATGAAACTTGAAGATCTCCTTTAATCATGGTGGAAACATTAGTAAATAGATTGTTGAGAGCTTCAGTGAGTTCATCGTGTTCCTGTGTTACCATATTTTCAGCCATGGCGACAAAATTCTGCACTTGAAGTGGAGCAATCAATTAAAGTATTAGACTAATAGACGATGAATCTATCAATAAGTAAAAGTGTAATGATCATCTAGTAATAATCAAAATTTTCAATGTTCCTAGCTGATAGATGAAGTAATCGCCTATTTCAGGTCAAGAGAACATTCTGTGTATGTATGTACAAGATTCAATAAGATTAACAAGAATATATATTACTAATATTTCTTGATAGAAAATTAAGAAATCTGACCTACCAACTGCTTTTGGCATTCAAATCATTATATGATAACTTTCACACTTCTAATTCATGAAAGCATCCTCAATAGAAAGCTTAAATAAAGGGAAAAAAAAAACAAAAAGATCAAGAATCTAAATTAAAACATTAAGAGAGAATCAAACATACCTTTAAGTTTCAATAATTGGAAGACGAACAACCACAAGCTCACAAAATAACTCGATGATTTGTTTGCCATATTTACCAAAAAAAGTCATCTACACTTGGATCAACTCAGGAAGATCTGCACATCTTAGGGCAGCAAATAGAGACTTCAAATCGCCTCTTTTAGGTCAAGAGGACATTCCTTGTACTGTATGTAGGACAAAATTCCATAAAATTGGATAATCAGGGCAATTCATAACATTAACAACAATAAATGTTACTAGATTTCTAGATGAAGGATACTGATTGTTTAAATCGGAGTACCTGATTCTTCACATCAGTGGGTGACTGCACCATGGCCTCTCCAATTGAAATCATTAGGAGATCGTTCATCGGAAGGATCGGAGCCTCGCTAACGGTGGCAGGAAACTGAGATGAGATCCAAAATCTCAATCTAAGATTCTTTCGGAATTCCGATGGATTCATGTCAGAGAATATAGTAACGTCGTGGACAGGCTGACAGATCAAGCTTTTGGTGATTCTGTGCGAGGCGGAGGTTAGTTTTAAAGTGATGCTCCTCCATGTGCAAACGATTGGGCACCGTCTTCGAACACCGGACGCATGAAGACTTCATCTCCGACGAGGAGGCACTCTTTAGAGGTAATGCGACGATAGGAGTCGGGATGAGAGAGAGAGAGAGAGAAAAGACAGAGAGAGAGAGAGAGAGAGAGAGAGAGAGAGAGAAAGAAAGAAAGAAAGAAAGAAAGAAAGAGAGGTAGGTGGGGGTTGACGTGATTTAATCTGATGATAGGGTTCTAAATTATTTTATTTACTAAAATGCCTCTAATTCATAATAATTATGATGTCCCGTATCCTTATTTCCAAAGTATTTATAAAAACGCCACAAAGCATCCTAAGTTATTATATATATATATATATATATATATATATATATATATATATATATATATATATATGTGTGTGTGTGTGTGTGTGTGTGTGTGTGTGTGTGTGTGTGTGTGTGTGTGTGTTCAGGTTCATTTGAGACCATGCTAATTTTGTGAGATCGTGAGCCCAAATCGAAAAATAATTTTAAAATGTATAATAAAAGGAAAAAATCCAAAAATTCTTTTTTTAATTATTATTTTCGAAACTTTAATTACCTAAAACAAATTACCGTTATTTTTTAATACGTGTAAATACTTTAATGTGATTTTTAAAATGTTAGAATATTCTACTAGATTTGTCACATATATAGAATATTTTCAAAAAATTTCAATTATTTTGCATTTTAAAAATGTTTTTTTATCTATTAAATGAGTGGGTGGTATTGCGTTTCACGGTCTCACAAAATTAGGCCATCTCACATAAACGTAAACATATATATATATATATATATATATATATATATATATATATATATATATATATATATATATATATATATATATATATATGGGAAAAGTGAATATACTCTTCAACGTATATAAGTTAGGTACCCAAACTCACAATTTTACATCGTTTTCTATCAAATAAATATATTGTAATTGTCCAATGTTCTTATACTTTAATTTCCTCTTACATAATTTTCATTTTTAATTATAATATATATAGTCTACTATGTGTTCGGCAAAAAAATATGATCTAAGAGGAAGTTAATAAGGAAATTTCAAAAATCTTGAAAGTAAATTAAGTTAGAAGTTTAAGTTTAAGAACATTATAATGAATATATCAAACAAAACGACTCATTATAGATGTTTGGGTACCTAAACTTATATACCCTTAAGGGTATATTCACTTTTCCCTACACACACACACATATATATATATATATATATATATATATATATATATATATATATATATATATATATATAAGGGTTATTTGGAAAAAAGAACTCTAAAAAACCTTAAAAATCATAATAATGTATAAAAATACTTGGAGATTACAAAACTTTTTTAAATTTTTTATAAAAAAAAATTTAATTTTTTATAAAAAAAATTTTAACTTTTTTTTTCAATAAACAAAATCAGCGAATTTATTTAAAAACATGCGATTTTTTCATAAAAAAATGCAAAAAAAAAATAAATAAATAAAGTTTTGTAATCTCTAAGTATTTTTTTATGCATTTTTATAATTTTTAGGTTTTTTATGGAGTAAATTATATGAATGGTGCCTATGGTTTTGGGTAATTTGTGCGTTTGGTCCCTAACTTATTTTTTTAACTCGGAAAATGTTTAATATTTCTTTTTGTTAGATGCTTGGTCGATATTATTTGTTTTTGTTACGCGCTTGGTCCCTTTCTTACCTAAAAATACTATTATTTAAATTGCAAAAAATTGTGGGGTAGGTTAGGTAAGCTGATGGGAGTGGGGGTGGGGGCGTGTTTATTTAAATAAATAAAAAAAATAAATAAAAGGCAAATAGTCATTTTAGGTAAGACAGTAACCAACCACGTAAAAAAATAAACAATAGGGACCTTTCAATTTAAAACAATAAGTTAGGGACCAAACACGTAAATTACCCTAAACCATAGGGACCATTCGTGTAATTTACTCTTTTTTTAGGGTTTTTGTTTTCCTTAGAACATATATATATATATATATATATATATATATATATATATATATATATATATATATATATATATATATAGGAGAATTCAATCGAGTACATTTCTTATCGCGAGAACATTTGAGAACAAATTAAGACCACATATTTTTAATTAAAATTATAAAATAATATTCATATAAATCAAAAAATAGTTACAAACAATTAAAAAACACACTAACTAACACCACTCACCACCCAACCAACACCAGACACGACCACCACTCGCCAGTCGCCACTATATATATATATATATATATATATATATATATATATATATATATATATATATATATATATATATATATATATATATATATATATATATATATATAGGAGCGTTCAATTGATAACATTTCTTATCGCGAGAACATTTGAGAACACATTTAGACCACACAATTTTTTAATTAAAATTATAAAATAATATTTTTATAAATCGAAAAACAGTTACAAACAATTAAAAACCACACTAACTAACACCACTCACCACCCAACCAACACCACTCACCATCACCACTCGCCACCACCACCCATCACTAACCTCCACCACCTACCACCCACCACCCATCACTACCCACCACTACCCACCACCACCAACAACAACTACCACCCACCACCTCCATCACCACTCGCCACCATCATAACCAAACCACCACCACCCACCTCCACCACCACCCACAACTGCTACCCACCACCCATCAGCACCACTTGCCACCACCACCCACCATCACTACCCATCACTACCCAGCACCATCAACACCCATCACTAACCACCACTACCCACCACCCGTTCCTACCCATCACCCACCACCACCAACAACAACCACCACCCGCCACCATGACCACCACCCACCACCAAGACCACCCAACCACCACCACCCGCCGCCACCACCCACCTCCACTATCCATCACCACCGCCCACTGCTACCACCAACAACCACTACTTACCACCCATAAGCACTACCTGCCACTACCACCCATAACTACCTACCACTACCAACCATTACCAACCACCTATCACTACCCAACACCCACCACAACCCACCACCACCCACCCACTACAACCACCACACACCACCACCCGCCACCACCACCCATCACTACCCACCAACCACCACCCGCCACTACTATCACCACTCCCACCATCACCATCCAACCACCACCACCCATCACCACTGCCCACTACCACCACCAACAACAACTACCTACCACCAATCACCACCACCACCCACCACCATAACCACCCACCACCACCTATCACTACCCACCACCTACCATCACCCACCCACCCACCACCACCAACACCAACCACCACCCACCACTACCACCTATCACAACCCACCACCACCCACCTCCACCCGCTACCATAACTACCTATCACTGCCCACCACCCACCACCAACCACCATCCGCCGCCACCATCAACGCCCATCACTACCCAACACCCACTACCAACCACCACCCGTCGCCACACTCATCACCCACTACCATCACCACCCAACCACCACCACCTGTCACCACCACCACCTCCATCACCCATCACCACCGCCTACCACCACCACCCACCATGATCACCACCCAACTACCACTACCTGCCACCACCACTCATCACTACCTACCACCAATCACAACCCAACACCCATCACTATCCCCCACCCACTACCACCTGCCACCACCACCACCACCACCCACCACCCACCCATCATAACCACTACCACCAACCAACACCCACCACCACCACCATCACCACCCACTATCATCACCACCCAACCAACACCACTCGCCACCACCACCCACCTCCACTACCCACCAAAACCATCACACGTCACTATCACCACCACTTGTAACCACACACCCTCCCCCCACCACCACCAATCACCACTACCCGGCCTCCACCACCCGCCGCCGCCACCACCCCCACCCCCACCTACAAAGATTTTTTATTGTGTTTCTGATTCATTAGGTTTTCTCTTGTATATAATCACATGTGATTATATGTATCAAGTCACATGTGACTATATGTATCGAATTATATATAATTTGTATGTTATTAAATACAAATAATCATATGTGATTGAATATACGTGAAAAACTAGTGAATCGAGAACGCTAAAATGAATATTGTTCACATAAATCATATGTGATTAGATACATATAACTACACGTGATTATATGTATTTAATAAAATATTATATACATGTTCCGTATTTATTTTCTTGTTTTCGATTTAATAATTGGCATCGTGTATTAAACCACATGTGATTATATGTATTTAATCATATATGATTTACATAGACAATATCTGTTTTCACGTGTTGATTCAATAATGGTTCTTGTGTATTTAATCACACGTGATTATATATATTTAATAACATATGATTCGTATGGAAAATATTTACTCTTGCGTCGATTCAATAATTGTTCTAATATATTTAATCGCATGTGATTATATGTATTTGATCACATATGATTGATATGGAGAAGATTCATTATTTCTTTCGCAGTTCCATAGTTGTACTCATGTACTTAATCACATGTGATTTTATGTATCAAATCGCATACAATTTATAGTGATAATATTCATGATTCAATATTTTTTCTTATGTATTTAATCATATGTGATTTTATGTATTAATCACATATGATTAATGTGGAAAAAGAAAAACTATTTAACAAAAATGCAAAAATGAATCTTGTGTATAGAAATCATATGTGACTAAATGTACAAGAAAAACTATTAAACAAGAATGTGAAAATGAATATTGTCCATATAAATCATATCCAATTAGATACATATAATCTCATTTAATTAAGCACACAGGAACAACAACTGAATTGAGAGCGTGAAAATAAATGTTTTCCACATAAATTAAATG